CAGCAAACGTGCAATCGCGTAGCATGTTATCACCAAAAATAGCCTTCTGTTCTGCGTAGACTTTCTCTTGTATGTCCTTGTGTATGCCGAGCATACAGAGTGCAAAACTAGATCCAGCGGAGGTAGTGTCATGACCCTTAAGGATGTGAAAATTAAAGTGAAAAAAATAAAAAAATAAAAAACTGCTTCTTTTAACTTACTTCGAACATAATAGTATTCACTTCATCCATAATGTCCTTTTCGTTCCATTCAATTTCAGGATTCTTTGCCATTTCAACCATGGCATCTAACAAAGCCAAACGACGTTTGGCACCTGCAAGCAAAATTTCAAATAAAATTGTGGTATAGTTGTAAATTCAAGTCCATTTTTTTGCAAATTTCCAAAAATACTCACCAACATCATTTTCATCGATGTCATCCAAATCGTCACGAAGTCCTTCGTTTTTGTTGAGTGCCTTTTGCTTAGATACATCATCAACTTCTTCAATAATTGCGCGATTTTCGGCACTAAAGTTCTGCTTACGATCACTAACAACACGTTTAGTCATTCCTAAAATGATATTCATCATCTTATCACCTTTCTCACGCAATTTGGTGAAATTATAAATCGCATCTAAACGATAGAACAATTTGACTTGACGTTTGTGTATAATGTCGCACATATCCACAACGGCTTGTGCGTATTCGAAACTCTTATTGCCTTCTGGTATTTTTTTCACACCCATAGCTGTAGTCAACAAAATCTCCACAGTAGTTTGGGACATATAATCATGCACATCAAAAGATTTTCCAACTTCTTTACGCATACGATCCACCACAGCCTGTGAGTGTTGCACAAATGTAGGTACAAAGCTCTTTAGGATACTTTGATGGAAGGTTGGAGCAATCATTTTGCGATGATGACGCCAATGGTCACCTTTGCTGATCAAAAGACCATCTCCGAACCAAGGTTTAAAGTAACGATATTCTTCGGCTTTTGTTAAATGATTATTTGTACTGAGTATGATTTCAATATCGGCAGGATTGGTTAGGAGAATAAGCAAAACATTACCCAACCAAGCTCTTAAAGTTTCACCGTATTTATTGATATAGACAATACCACGCTTCATAATCTCTGCAAAAGGCAATTTATATCATTCTTATATTATTCTTACAAAATTAGTTAAGTGAAAGGTTACCCGCATTAGACAAGCCATATACCAAGTGAGCATTGCCAACGAGAGGCAATTCTGGTGGAGTTGGTATATTCTTGGTCATCTTGTATTCACGTGTATTGCGATGCCAGTATTCATAAAGTGCGATCACAACCGCTGTACCAATAAGCGCAGTTATTATTGGACTAAATCCAGTCGCGCCTCCCGCTTGATTAAGCGTTTCCTTCACAGTTTCAATGGACATTTTGTAATTTGTTTCTTATATCCTTTCAGATCTTAGTCCTCTTCACTATATGAACGGTTATATGAAATTTCTCACTCCGATATAACAATTGTAAATCACTTCAATATACACTTTTAATTTGATTTCACTAAAGCCGCCGTCCTGTTACACGGACAGTTCCAAACTGAGTTCAAACCAGACTGTACCTTGCAATTTTATTAATTCGAATCGATTTCTGCATACGTAATTCGGTTTCGACTAAAAGTCAATTAATTCATTAAATCCATTTGTTATGAAATTAAATTCTAATTTAGTTTTTTCGTTCTTTGTCTTTAGGTTTAGTTTGTCGCATTTTATGGAAATTACCACACACATTGTTACACTCGAATCAATATTCATTTCGAAAACTATGGAACTATGGAACTGTGGCAGACACTTATGTCTTCTAGCGATCACGTCATTGAAGTTATATGAAAAAATCAAAGAAATAAAATTAATTAAAATTGAATTCATTTCACTTAATTTTGTAAATTTTGGTATTACAAATATTTTTGCAATGTCAATATAATATTATTTAACAATATTTATTAGTTAATGTATAATATTAACAATATTTTGACTAACAAATTATTATACAAATCTACAAATTATTATATAAAAAAATAATATATTAATATAATGTTATCTAGGTCAACATGTGCTGTTTTTCATCACTATTTGAAATAATTTTGACCAGACAGTGGGTGCCTTCTTTAAAGTGTTTACACTGTAATCCTCTTGAACCATTTATTAAATGGCGATAAGGTAGTTTCCACTGTATTTAAAAAATCATATCATAATCACGGGATCATAGGTTATTAATTAAACTAGTATTACGAGTATGTGAATTCAACAATGGAATATACCGATTATAAACAACTTATACATCAAGGTCAGTTTTTCCTACTACACACTTTCTTCGCTTATGCTAAGATCACACTTGTTAATCACAATTATCCATTGACATCCATGACATTTCCAATTCTATTTCAAGTCATATGATTATTTTCAAATTCTAATAGACTAGATGGCAGACTCATTCTTCCTTTTCGGACATCACAGTAGTTATCGTCTTTTAAATCGTTTCTATGCTATTTTGATTTTCATCATTGCGGTGTTCATCTCTGTTAATACGTGGACATCCAATGGTGACTAACAGTTCGCAGAGTTTTGAAAAAATGATCCAGGGAAAAAGAGAAGAAAAAGTCATCGTCGAAATAAGTACGATTTATCTATGAGGCCAAAAATCCACCTTTTTCTAAGAGAGCTGTCGAAAGCTGTGGAGAATTGTATATCGGTTGAAGAGAATCATGTTACTGAATTAAGTCGAATTTTTATGTATAAAGAGGTTCGCTAATAATAATTAATTAATCTATAATTGTAAAGCACATAGAATTTAAACTAGTCTCAATCTCACTAGTATTCGAAATATATAGTATAGTTCTAATCACGAGATTAGGTAAGGTTGAGTGGGCTTGTGCTGATAAAACTATCAATAATCCCACTCGGAAACATACCTATATTGCCCATTGTGATGCTCTTAAAGTTGCCTAAAAAGGTCGCCTTACACTATCTGCTATTATCTGAATGTGCTATACTTGGTTATACTTTTGTTATACTTTTTAAACCGTTGATCTTCAAGATATAACTCCGGAGATTCAAATACTTCACTTTTGTTATCTTTATCAGGCCAGTGAAGAAACTGTTTTCACGACATTGATGTCTGTAGTCTACAAACTGGTAGTAGTCCCACATAAAAACAAGTTATTATTAGTAGTGAAAGGGATAGTAAACTGCGACCTAAAATACCTATTGTGCACCTTATTCAGAATAGAGTGCTTCTCTAAATCCGATTTCTTTCATAAAAGACAGTATAGAGCCTGTATTTCCTAGCCTTGAATACCTATGCTCCATGGAATACCCTCCTAGGTGTTTCTTTCGCTTGTGCATCAATGCTGGGCATTCCCCTAGCACATAATATGCGATTTCCCTCTTTTCTCTGCAGTATCCAACTGTAAGTCTGAGTTGGATTAGATTCCCAATTTTGTTAGGTGATTAATCAATCTGCAATGACCGGTTAATATTCCGGTAATAATTCGTAAGTTATTCTTTGTTAGTTCTATGTAATCCTTGAAACGTGTTAGGTTGTAAATCCCTGAAAGCATTTCGGATTGAGATAATCTTGGTAATTCTTCTCAATATTGTTCTCTTTCCTTTTTCTCTGCGCCGTTCATAAGAAGGAATAGAGTTCCTTTGCCTAGACCACAGAAAGGTCTATCATTACTAAAGCCGCGCATCTACTTGCGAATTTGTCTGCTACTTTATTACCTTGCACCTGATTGTTCCAGTCAAATATGTTCAGCTTGTCAATGCACTCCAATATCAGTTTGGATGTTACCTGATATGGCATGAGTGCCATTATAGCTGGCTGACTATCAGTCAGTATTGTAATACCATGATTCCAGTTTTTGCGTTCAATGTTTAAAATGGCGCATCTATCAATCTTCACTTGAAAAATGGTTATATTTCTTCCCAGTGCTTCGAAGTATCTTTTGCCTGGTCCATATACATCAGCTCCAGCTCCTTAACTGGTGAAAAAACCGTTTGTGTACCATCTTATCATTAATAATTAAGTAATTATTGAATTCTATATTTTCTACATTGTAACAACCTCTGCAGAATCCGCTTAACGGAATACATCACCTCTGCATCGTCATTACAATGGCTCAGTACACATTCCTGTCTTATCAGAATCATAAGGTTATAACAATCTCACGATAAGGTCACGCAGTCATCACGATTAGACCACAGTTAATGTGAAAATAGCTGGTACGTGATGTTATGAATGTAATAGATTATGTAAATAGATGTAAATGGAATGTAAATAGATTATTCATTAAATGTAGTGGCGTATATATAACAGACAGTTTAAACTCCACATCCCTTTCAAATCTAATTTACACTACGTATTTTGCACTTGATATAGTAGATTTTTTAATTAAATGTTTTGATATGAATGTTTTCATAAGTTTTCAAAACCCCCTCCCCTTAAATGAGTCGCCATATACCTTCTGATTGAATAATTGACACATGTGTTTTTAATGAAAAATAATGACTTAGTTTTATAATTTAGGATTTAAAAAAGTTATTTGCATGTATCTGTGACTAAGATCGCATCGAGTACTTTCTCAATACCGGAATAATGTTCGGGTACTATTATTAAGCAAATTCGAAAGCTGATATCTCATTTTATGTGTAACTGTGATCTTTAAATAATCACTCTCCACTTGCAAACATCTATAGTATAACATTGACATACTTAATAATACTATCATCCGATACTTATATGATCTATTATTAAACATTTTTTTTTACTTAAAAGAGGGAACTAATACCAAACCTCTTGTTTGAGTGTTTAACTAATGTGCCGCATAATAGAGAAAGAATTTGATAAATTTAGCAAAGCAAAAAAAAAATAAATTTGAGAAAACGAAAATAAAACTTCAAACTCAAGACAAAGAAGTCTGAATGTGAATTGAAGCATTTGAGCGCAAACTTCCTGTGTAGCACGCGTAAGTGAAGCACATCCTCAGACACCGAAACTCAAAATAGAATCTAATGCCAGATACACGTCCTCGCACTTACTCCTGGACATTTGCCAAGGAGTACGCAAATGAATTAAGCATAACAATGCGCACTTTGTACCACAGAAAGTGAAAACAATGAACGAAATTGAGAGGAATATCCTTCCGGCGTCCACCTTTGTCAATGGAACAGACACAAAACACGCAGGATGTGCGCGTTCAAAGCGAACAAGTGTTCATTTATTCTTTTTTTTTTTGTTTTTTTTTGGTTTTAAATTTTATAAATATTATTGTTTTGCTTTTGTTTATTTTTAATTTTACTTTTGTTGAAATTTTTACAATAAAAAAGCCATGAACTTTACAGACGAACAATTACCTGAGATGAGATGATCTTATTGACTCGATCATCTCATATCATCTCAAATCATTTATGAAACAGAAAAATAGTCTTATAAAGAAAAATATGAGATAAAAATTTGGGATGATTTCAGAAATAAGGATCTTCACTAGACAAGGGATTTAAAACTAAATAAAGTTAAATTTTCTTGCTTTCCCGAAATCGCGATTTGGATCTTGTTATCTTTCTCTATTTTAAAATATGAGGAGTTGATTAAACAAAAAAATAGAGTACTAGTCACAAGTGGTACATGAAATTCTTTTCATTGACTACACAGACTCATCTCAAGGACGTCCAAAACTGGCTAACCAACTGACGCATTCACGTAAATGAGCAAAAAAGTACACATATAACCTTTACACTTAGAAAAGATACTCGTCCACCCGTAACTCTCAATCACAACATTATACCAGTATCCCAAAGCATTACATATCTTGATATTCATTTCGACGGCCGATTTAAATGGAGACAACATAACTATAACCACAAAAAAAAAACACAAATAAAACTAAAATTCCTTAAGTTGTATAAGTTCTTTGTCTTCTTATTTGGCACTATTGTCCTTGGCCTCCCTCACGATCTGCCTCCGTCTGTCCCTATCTTCTGCTATTCTCTTTCAGTTCAGTACTCCAATCGTTCTTGCATCACCATACACGTTCTCATCCCATCTTATTCTTGGCCTACCTCTGTGCCTGGTTGTCATCGGTAACTTGTATGTATTAGTTACTCAATAAAAAATCAAGATTACAGCTTGTTCATAAAGTCCTGTTATATAAAACTATGATTAAGTCCATATGGACTTACGGAGCCCAACTCTGGGGTAAAGCCAGCGCGTCAAACATCGATGTTATCCAGCGCATTCAGTCAAAAATACTTCTTTCATTAACAGGAGCCCCCTGGTTCCTCAGAAATTGCATCATACATATGGACCTTCAAGCGCCTCTAGTCAAAGACGAATTTGCCCTCCTACAACAGAAATATGACACTTAAATAATGGTACATCCAAACCCACTCGCTCAATATCTTACCAGAACAAGAAATATATCCCGTCTTTAAAGATCGAATTTACCGGCATACCTTTAATGCATCTTAAATGTATTACCACATTAAGTTAAAAATTTTAGAAATAAAAAATTAAGAATCTTTACGCTTTAAACAAGGAAAGTTTAGGTAGAGACATAAACTTTGAATGAATATTTTTTGTATGTAAGATTTAAGTAATTATTATTAGACTTTTTAATTGATTCAATAAATAACAAAAAAGGAAAGAAAAATTGATTACACAACCCTGTTGTTGGCATTTTTCAAGTGAAATTCTAAACTTTTGAATCCCGACATACTCGAAAATTGTGCTATATCGACATACAGTAAAAAATGTAAAAAAACCAAGCAAAACAAATTGTAACACAACATATATTAGATCCATTAGAGTCCGGCAGAACCTCGAGGTTAGAGGCATTTAATACCAATTGAAATTTCAGATAGGGTAAGTCCTTGTCGTGTGATTTCCTAAAAATATAATGTTGGAAACGATAATTCAAGTAGCAAATTTCAACCATTCTGGGGCACAATGTTCTACAAAAGTATGATGGAGCTTTCACGTATCGACGAGATTGATTCTCATGCAGTCAGTGCGGCATTCTAAAACTTAGAACAATAAGCGAAACAAATGGGTCTTATAGTAAATAAGTAAAAAAAAAAACAAAGTACTTTCTATCAACAAACACATCTGCTGACCAACGTGGGACTGATGTCACTGCCGACAACTATTAGTTCGAAATTACTAAAACCTGTTTATTAAGGAACCAGCGCAAACCCAGAATCTCCTACCATTTCCATATAAAGAGATTGTCCATATATAATATTTTCGATGAAATTATAAGAATATTTTATTTACGTATTATTTTTATAGCGAGCTTCCCATAAAATTAATCATGTAAAATATTTTAATTTTATCATAGCATACTTTTAGGTGTACATTCATGAAATACATTCGAATTAATTCTCTTGAAAACTGTTTCTATCAATAAAAAAACTTCAATTTTAATAATTAATTTATTTTGTTTCTAAAAATATATTTATTCTATAGAAATACTTCTTAATTCTTTAAATTTTAAAATATGAAGTATTGTTTTCAATAGAAAGGTTTTTATCGCACAGTAGTAAATTACAACAATAAGATTTTAAAATTTCTGATTAATTGAATTTGTTACTGACCACACATCTATTTCGAGTATTGCCAAGTACCCATCAGTGGTCTTGGAATTATTTCTTATATTCAATTATTCGTGAATAATTTTTTAAAACTGCAAGTACCAAGCGTTGAACTCGTGCCCTGCCAAATTTGAAGCTCAGAGTCAGTGTTCATTAGCCAATTGACCTAGACCCGTACTTGACTTATATTTTCGAACTTGGAGTTTTCTTAATGTGCTGTGGGAGTTCATTAACAAATATTAGAAGGAAATCATAAACCAGTTCTCGAAAATATTTTAATCGATTTTTTTATTTTTAATTTTAACTCCATATCTTTAAATTATTGTAAAGAATATTTGAAACTTTATGCGGATCTTGAGTTTATGTGACAATACAGATTTCATTTTCAACGAAATGTTGGACTCGGACGTCCTTTTCCTACGTAAGACTTCCTACTAGTTATGCATTCACTTATTTGACTTCTTCCGATTTTACAATGATATCAGTATTTAATGCAGCTGTTTAAGTTCCATAAACTTTCGTTTAAAGTAAAAATTCTTATATATAGAGACCTATATACCTCAATAGTTAATATTGACCGCTTGTAATAAACACATTGCATATAGATCCAGTAAAATGCCCTGCCAATATTATGAAAATGGTTGAGCACCACATTTTCAACAAAAATGTCTGAGTACAGCTAAATAAACTTAGGAAGATTTAAACTCTTATCATATTGACATTTTTTTCTTCAAACTGGATATTTCTCGGTCCAAGCTGAACATATCTTATCTAAGCTGGATATTTCTTTTCCAAATTGTACAATCAACCTACCAGTCAGCTACTTCAACTAAAGCATATCCTGCTCAGCACTGCGTTATCGCTGCCAAGAGACTACTGCCTACTAGAAAGACATGATGTAAGACTGAATCCACCATATAACGACATTTGTGGTATTATACATCTGTGGATGCAGAGAAAACTGTACTTTAACTCATGTTTCCGTGTACATCGTTCTGTAGGAGAAAATTTAAAATTCAGGGCCATTTTGCTTACTGACCTGATAGAACTATCATCTTTGATAATGAGGGACTTGGTAAGTTTATAGATTTGTCAGTTTGGTTAAGTTTTACTTAAATTGAGAAGTCGCGCCTTTCCACGTTGTTCGTACGCTGATTATTGCGATCATCTTACGGGTCCTTTGGTTTGCGTATGAATAACTCTACTCCGTTGTACTGCAAGGGGTTATTATTTAAGCTAAAGCGGATTTTAGGCAATACATTGCCACTACAACCTAACGTAATCTAACCACATTATTAATAATACTACAATAACATAGAAATTAATTTTAAATAATTAATAATAATTATTATTACATTTTCAGGAATTGATTGTTATATACTATGACAGTAAACCTAAGTAACCTTCTACCTACGTGCGTACTTAGACGGTTTCAATCTATCACGACCATGAAAAACTAAGGAAGGCAAGTGTAGAAGCAATTAATTTTTATAAACATTTATCGAAAATATTACATGATTTTAGAAATAAAATATTTAACAATATTAAACAAGAATTAATTTGACTCTATTAAAAATTCAATAATAAATATAAATAATATTTTACAATAAAATTACAAATTTGGGATCCGAAATCTTGACTATAAGCAATTATTTGTGATACATTTTTTGTGACTTTGTTTTATCCAAAATATTGAATGTTTACAAAAATAGTTGATATAAATTGGACCCAATCACAAACGCAGGCTTCTATACTCTTAACAAATAACAGAATTAATACCAAATTTACTTTTTATAAATTAGACAATTAAAAAGTTACTGACACACAAATTGCAAGGCAAAAATATTAAATTGTGAATACACTAGACTTAATAAATATATAATAAATTAATTATAATAGTGGCAATTAATTATTAAAACATTTTCTTTTTCACTGCAGTGTAGCGTTCCATATAGCTGTCATATCCATCGAGCTCCGTAAACTGTTTGTTATTAAAGAGGTTACCATCGACAGCCAGATTACATATTTTTGATTCTTTAAGTATATGTGGCGTGAAAGCTGAAGCCTGCAAACAATTTTCTTCCAAACGCAATGTTTTCAGTTTCGGACACGCCGCTATATTTTCCGATAAGGATGATATTTGATTTTGGTTCAAGTTTAACTCGGTAATGTATAGTGTGCCCACTTCATTGGGCACGCTCGTAATTTGATTCCGAGACAAATCCAGTACATCCAGATGCTTGAGTCCAGACAGCATGACAGGAAAATCTCGAATTTGATTATGACTTAAATTTACGGTTTTGAGATGACTACAATTTGCTAGTGTCTTTGGAATCTTAGTTAGAAAATTATCCATAACCAATAAAACTTCTAATTTGATCAAATCGCCCATTACATCCGGCAGTTCAGTTAATTTATTTCCGCTTAAATTTAAATGTTTTAACAGCGTAAAGCGACCTAAATCGTCTGGAATCTTTTCGAATCTATTTTCTGACAGATCCATTGTCTTCAATACGTTGGGATAAGTTTTAAGCTGCGGCGGAAATTCCTGTAATCGCTGTAAGGATATTTTCAAAATACCGGTCTTTTGTGCAGTCTCCAAATGCTGTTTTATTTGTTTATTCCCCATTTTGATTATTAAAAATTACTTTTTGATTTAAGCGCAAAAATTATAACAAAATAGTGCACGGAATATTGTTAATTAGAAATTAATTGTTGACAGTCACCTGTTTACTTTCGTTTCATCAAAACATGAAATTGTTATCGATAACTTCGAGCTGTCAAAATGCGCAATGTGTTCGGAAATAATTTATAACTTAAAAATATATTGGATATCAGTTTAATTAACGCATAAGGCCGTGTGCGAATTCGAGTAAATTGATGATAAATTGAGGGAAATAACAAATTATGTCGGTATGGCAGCAAATGTTGATATTTACCAAAATTTCGAGTAGATAGAAATTAAATTAGATAAAAATTAGGTAAATTATGTGTTACCATTGTGAAAATTTTATAAGATGTTTAATAATTAAATTAATAAATTTGAAAACTATTAACCAAAAATAATAAATAAGTACAATAAATAAATAAATAAATATTAACATAAGTGCAGTGCAAAAAATCCCTAGGAAATGTCAATTTACTTTACTATCAATTTGTTCGAACACACACTATTTACGTGATTCCTAAATGTTTCTCTATTATTAGTTATTAGTTAAAATAAAACTTACTGAAAATTTTAACTAAAAATCGCCTTATTTATTTTCCCTTTAGATTGTGATTGTTTACTGTTCAAACTTGTTCTTAAGTTCCCTTTTGTCTTCTAAGAACCGACATATGGGCAATTTTTTGTCAAACCGCCATCCAAAATATTTTCATTTTTTTCTAAAATAAGAACTCAGTTAAATTTTACTCTTTATTTAATAATATTTACTGCCCATACTTATCAAAGTCCAACACTTCCTTTGGCTTTTAGTAATCATTGAATGTTTGTTGATTTTAAATAATTTGTAATTTTTTATAAAACATTGAAAGCAAGTAATGTTCTTTAAAAAATCAAACAATCATTCAACTCGATTGTTGAAATGAGAATCAATTCATTATTAGAACCTATTGTTAAATAGGGGGCGGATTCATACGATTATGTTACTTGCATGTTCTTTTTATACAATTTTACATCAATTGCAATAAAAATCATTACCCTAAAGCATTACGCCTTTAAACGAATTTTAAGATTGGAAGGTCAACCATTAGATAGCAGGAACCTAACAAAGCAATTTCTTACCTTGGTTATTTAGTAACAACTGAAATTCTATCTTAATTCCACATTTTTGACGATATGAACCAAATTCTTTTGCAAAATATTGCATTACTACGTTTTTGGAAGTATCATCCTCAAAATGTTATCATAATAAACTTAAAATGTCCCACATCCGATATAACTATGACGCAGGTATCGGCATGCTTTATTATTTTGCAGTTTGAGTTTTTTCCAGTCCGTATTGAACTTCCGTCAGACTTTCGCGCCACTGGTGTATAAGAACCTAACAAACGCAGATTAACTCTTTATTTTGTCAATACTTATTGTAAAAGTTGTATCTCATATCTTTTTAATAGTCGGACTGCAGATTAGAAAGAACGGGAGATCACTGGAACATGGTTTTAAAAAGATGCGAAAGATGCTTTCGCTAATTATGTGATGCGAAAGCTTGTTTGCTGCTGATCAGCTATAGCTCCTACTAACCAACCATACATCTCCTTTTCTTCATCTCCTTTTAACAGAAAATAGGGAAGACATAAACCAGTTCGTGAAGTAAATACATTATAACCTATAAAATTTATTATTTTAGGATGCTATAACGCTATGCAAAGAATGGAGCTAATCTACATATTCTTACATTTCAAATCTGCACGTGTATATTTGGGTTTTTTTTTTTGTAATTCTTTTATTATTTCCCTTATATTTTGTAAACTGTCTAATTGTATTGATCACTATTGATCGACCATCACTACTTGTTTATATGTAAAACCAAGGGATGTGTTTTTTTATGGGCGTGCTTTGTCTGTTGCAAAATTGATTGAACGAAAAATGAGTTTCTTATCCATAATTGCCGCAGAACTGGCACCCAATAAACCTATTATAGAAAAGCTTGCCGAAAGGGTAATTCTTGGCAGATTAAATGATGTGGTTGGTTCACGCAATATACAAACAAGCACCAGCTAAAAATTGCACAAAGCCAGGCTCTGAGAAGACTGTTCAAAGTTCCATGGTACATTAGGACAAATGACATCCTCAGGGAGATCAAGATTGATCCCATTAAAAAATATATAAAGGATAGAGCCCTGAAATTATTTGCAAAAACTGACAGACTTACCAACACCGCGTTATCGAATCTCAGAATGGTTACAAGCTCCTCTAGGAGGTGTGCAGATCTGAGGTCAATTATTGCTTAGTCTGATGAAGTGATAAACAATAATCCAGTCAAGGTGTAGAGAGGGGTTTTGAAGAAACCTCGAGTTAAAAAAGAGTATAAGTGCTTAATTAAATATATGTTATTTGGCTCATAAAATATTAATTTAAGTTAGTTTAAATAGCATTTTATGCTTCGCCAAAGGTTTTAGGTGGTTTTAAATCATGAGTTTTTCCTATGGGCCAATAGCCCTAAGCGGATTCACTAGGGATCGCCGGTATAACCTAACCTAACATAGGTTACTCTGACTGATTAGAAGTTACATATAGATCTAAAGTTTTCGGACGAAAATATCTACTTCAAATCTTTATTATATGCAAATTTGTAGTAGACATTTTTACGAATCTAAGAGAATTTTAAAACTTTATTGACGATTCTCTTCCCAGTGCATGTTTAAGAATGTTTGTGGAACAGATTTTAGATAGATTTAAAAACATACCCAATGCGCTGTTGTATCTGTGCTTTTTTTTTGCAGTAGGTGGAAAGCATCGAAAGCCACAGTGTGGTGAGACTTGAACCCACTAAAACCACCTCTTAGGAATGAAAGGAGAAGCTTTCCACAATAATGTGGAAACTTCATTCCAGTAATCATGGGAAAGAGGAATGAGAAAATAGATTTAGATAGTTCACTAGGTAGAACTAGGCTCATCTAAATCAGAAAGCAAGGGCATGAACTAGGTAGGAAGGGCGTTATAGAAGGGAAAGGGGTTACGGCTAACTAGCGGTTGTTGAATCAACAATATACTTTGTGACTAGGGTCACGAAAGCCGCGGTTATATAAGGGGATAGTGGAGAGGTTATGGTCCACTTCATTGAAGTAGTGGGTCAGGTATTGAGGGGGTTACAGCGCAAAGCTACAACAAGGTCTTCTGGAAGAGTGAGAGGAGTAGACACGTCGGGGGGAAGGTCATGGAGCCGGGTGAGATGCCTACGGGCGAGTGACAGAAGATACTCGTTAACACGAGTGATCTTGGCGTTGTTGTAGAGAGTTGATATGGAGAAGTACTTGCCATTACGCTTGCGAAGAAGTTTCCGCTCAAACAGGCGTATTCTTTGCATCTGAGCGGAAGTGATGGCAGAGGGAAAATTATAAATTAAAATACTAAAGTTTGTATTAATGAATAATTAGTTATTCAATATTTAGTTTATATTGAATGATGATACCAGAAAGGATTCTAAAAGATCCAAAGGACAACAAAAAAAACACTAGATTATATGTTCGTTAATAGTTTATTCAAAAAATTTATAAAATGTAATGATAATAAAAAAGTGTATTGAATTTACAAAATTATAATGAATTTATAAAAGTAAATCAATTCGCAAAAATAAACTTAATGGATACGATAATATTTATTCTTATTCTATAAAATCTTTAAACAAAAACAGATTCATATTTTGGTAAATTATTTCAGGAACATATGGAATGTCCTCATAGGAAAAATATCTACAACATTCGAGTTGTGAGGTAAAGTACACCAAACGAAAATGGAATCTAAATGTTTTTGTTTGAATTAAATTCAAATTTTTGATATTTCATTTGTTTTTTGTTTTGTTTTTTATAAAAAAATATTCAAATTAAAGCAAATAGTTAGCAAAAGTTTGTTCATTAAACTCAAGTATGAGGTATTATTTTAGCACTTATGTTACCTCAGTGTGCAACAAATTAAATAAAAAGTAAATTTGAAGCGTCTTTAGCGCCGTCAACTAATATAAAATAAAAATTAAATGGAATTATAAAGAAAAAATGTACTTAATATTAGATATATATATATGTATATAGATATATATATACAGAATGTTTTTTTTTATTTCTTACAAGAAATATAAATTCTTCTCGAGTGCAGTAGATGGAGCACGCATGATGTTCTCACCTACCAAGAATGCCAATTTATGAGCATATTGACACACTGCAGGTACGCGGCAGGTACCAGCCCAATTATAATACATGTGAGTCATTTTGTAACTAAGCATTTGAATATGTTCTGGCTTGAAGCCTGTTGTATCGTGTATAACGTTATAGTTGGTAGGAGAGACTGTACCTTGGAATACAGACTGCGACACTAAATAAAAGTCATAACGCTCTGGTAAAGTAATAATATCGTCCACAACGGTACCAGGTGGAGGATTGCGACCTTTAAGAAAGTATCGCGTATTGATTCTTTTGGATACAACTATAAATGCAAAGCGTGGTGGTGCACTTCCCTTGCTACTATATATTTCGTCTAATCTATTGACTAGAGCTTTAACTTCATGGTTTACAACTTGGTGCAGCTGACCATCACCAACTCCATCGCGATAAAATACTATACGTTCAGGCAAGCATTGATGCTCCTCCAGATATGCTCGTAAAGAGTTCGCTACACTTAGCGTTAAATAATTTGATAATTCTTGGCCTTTTACATGTTCTTGGACTGATGAATAATATCTCGAAGATTTCCTTATGTCCATTGTTGAAACAAATGCGCCATATGAGTTATTTTTATTTTTAGTTGAATGACATACATCAAAACCGCATGTCATAATACCAAGATTAGGCATATCAATCATCCATGGAATTCCGCGCAATTTAGCGTTCATTTGAATGACAACCTTCGTTGCTATTGACATTAGACCAGCCGACTTTTCTGGGCGTGGTGCAATAACCTTCATAGTCACAACTTGTGAAGCAACTGCTCTATCAACGCAACACTTTTTCTTAATTACAGCATATCTGCAAATCAATAAATAATATCAATAATGGTGTTATTATTTAGAAATATTTTATATTTACTTTTCTTCGTTGGGACTGAAAAGTACCGCCATAATGATCTGCGGATCCTGAGATGCAGCAACATCTATAGCTGAAGCATAAGAATTATTTCTGTCATCCTTCATTTCGATACTGTAAAATAAAACAAAAAAGAACATTAAAAGAGACATCAAAATAGCTGAATATGTAAATACTATATATATCGTAATTGTGACATAATAATGGTAGATAGCTGACTTTAAATGTGATCATAAGAGTTACAATTTAGAAAAATCATCCCAAGATTGGTCGGATCTACGTCTCAGAACCACTCGCCAATTTCGACGACCAAGTGCCGTTCAAAACCCCACAAAGAGATTTCACAAGCAAGTCTCCGCAGGTTAGAACAACAACAAAATCTTGGTATACACATGCATATATCTTAGACATAAGCTCCTTTTGGAACGAAAATCTGGGATTGTTTTTTTATGTGGACTCTGATTAGGTTCAAGATTAATACCTTTTACTCTTCTCACATTTCATCGCTTTCCCATTCTATGCCATTTCGTAAAATTTGTTATGATTTTATTAAATAGTTTTTGAGGTCGGGTCGGTGTTGATTACAACTTTAACTCCAACAACAAATAATAAGCATCCTATAACATTGTACGATCATTGTATGAAATTCAGATAGCTTCC